CAGAGCCCTCACCTGACCCCAGCGACGTGTCAGGAGTCTCACTGTTCATGTCAGCACACTTTAAACCCAATTTACTCCGCTGTAAATTATCTCCGGTGTCTCTATCTTCTCCCGTGGGAAGAACCCTGAAGCTCACGGCGCCATAGTAACGCCAACACAACACGCCGTTCGCCTCCGTATATTACAGGTGTCACGTCTGGGGCAAATTTCGGCTACGCTGATTCCAAGAAGTGTTGTTTATAGATGCATTTCGAGCTTTTACTGAGAAATTTGCGGATTGTGTATCGGGCTCCTAATATCGATTCAGTCAATCTCCTGTTTGGATCTGTAAATTGATGTTATAAGACTATTTACTGGTCGTATTCGGCCCTAAAAATCTTATCATTTTTTAAAGTTTTATTGTACCAATTTGTTCTGTATTTACTTGAGAGATAAATGACAGTTACATTTTGATCAGTTTTGTCTTATTTTAGTTTTGTTTAAAGGAGATAAACGTGATCTCTGCACTGATATCGGTTAATATTTATATTTAGCATCAGCAGACATTTAAACCATTTGCATTTGAACCATTTTCCAATACAATACCACTGGGACAACTGTCAGAGCAGTGTCACTCAGAGGGGCCATCTCCAGTCAGTCAAGAGCACAGACCTTAACTCTAATATTTTGCTTATTAGACAGACTAAAATTACAGAAATGTCTAACTCAGTACAATACTAACAAATAGACTCTTTACTCTGTACCAGTTTCCAAAGGCGACGCTACCATTAGACAAAAGTAGGCGGCTGCTTAGGGCCCCCAAACCTGAGAACAATGGGGAAAAACAGACAATAAATACATATGGGTCCAGTCAAGTGGTAACGGAGGGAAACAGGGCAGATTTTTTACATTCAAATGTCTCTTATTCAGAAACTAGAGGGACTATTGAAATAAGTAAAGTATCAGAATGTAGGAAAGAGTTACACTCCAACAGGGTCAAGTTAAACCTGTGATATTCTTTCAAGTTGTTGACAAAAAATTTAAAAACTCATGTCGGTAACGGAGGGAATGAAATATGCAGCACTTTTTGGGCAATAAATCCAAACAGTGATAACTCTTGGTTCTCACTTACATATCCTTAACAAACTGGTTTGAATATTTGCTTCATATAGTTTTCTACCATATGGTACAAGATTAGGTTGAAAAACCTCTTACTTTTTGAGTCATGAGATTTTTTATTAAGAAAGTTCATGGTAACGGAGGGAAAAGTAACGGAGGGAAAATTGTGCAAACAAGTAGAAGGTGCATGATTTTACATAATTTGTCACTTTTTTCTTCCGAATACTTTAATATTACTTCAAAATGAAAGGAAACTATTTCTATAAAATATGTCAGTCCTTCCAAGCAAATTTTTATCATTTTAAATACTGTTTTTTTGAAAAATCATGTACCTTCATCAACAGTTCAAAGATGGAATAACACAAGATATGATGAAATACATCCATTTATTTACATGATTTGCAGGTCTTTGAAATTTGGGAAATAATTTTTGTTCCATGTTTCATACATGGTCTGTTTAAAACGTATGTAACTTTAGAACAAAAAATGGTACAGAAAAAAGGTCAACAGTTTGATAAACTAGAGTACATATGTATCTGTTGAATACATTTTTATATCAGATGCATTAATGTGAATTTTTGGCCTTGCTGTTTACTTCTGCTTGACCGGGCCCAGATACAAAAAAACTAAACAAAAAAAGGGTACATTATAGTGAAGGCCCTAAACTCACCTAGAGCCCCTAACTTTCTAACTCCACCACTACCAGTTTCCATACCACACTGATAATAAAAATGTTTCTTTTTGAATAGAAAGTAATAATATTTTCATTAACGTTACCGTGTGTTGTTGTCATTCTGATGAAGACCAAGACCTTTTAGGGAAGATAACATTTGTCCTGTTCGATACTCGTTATGTTTTAACTATATTGCATAAAATAAGCCATGTTACCTGATCGAAAACATATCTGGAGTCTACATCTCCAAAGGTCAAAATGCTCAGTTCCACCTCTGATGTCATGAAGCAGTAGTGTGTTCAGTAGATGGGCAATTCCACGGGTGAAAGTATCGTTCTAGTTACTGCACAGTCAGATGCATTCTCGTGATATTTGTGAGTTCACAGGCTCATGAAAATCCATTTTGGAGTGCGCCTGTTGTGTGGGCGAACAATCACAGAGCAGTATTGAGGTTTGTGCAGAAGCCAAAAGTGAAACATCCAAAAGCTTCCTGCATTTGTGGACAGAGAGAGAATATCTGTGCTTTTCTCTCAACTCAGTGTAACAAAAGTTTGATCTTTTGGCTTGTCCTGCTGTTGTGGCGCTTCAACCAGTCAAATTCAAATAGTTATGATGCTCCATATTCTCTGATCTCTTTCGTAAGAAGGTGAACGTGGATTGAGTTTAAAAACACAGTGGGGCATGCCACCTTGTGATGTCATGTGGTAATACAGGAACAGAGCGTTTTCTGTTTAAGAGACGTCGGTGTAAATATGCAGGGTTTGTGTGTTAAACATGTTAAACGTTAACACATGTCCAGGTCCTGTTTCTAACGAGGATAAAACATTTATCTGTCTCTTGCTATTTTTGCTACTTATTTTAAATGTATTATCACATGTATAGTTTTTACTCTTTATTTTTTTATTATCTTGTGATGTGTGAGTTACTGTGTCCAAATCATTTAACTCATGACTCAGTAAAGTTTGATAAGTCTAACAGTGTATAACATAGATCAGAAAATAAGGTCATATATCTTTAAATATTTGTCATAATTGTGTGTTTTTACCAGTGTTGGGAGGGTTACTTTTAAAATGTAATCCCCTACAGATTACAGATTACATACCCCAAAATGTAGTTTGTAACATAATCCATTAAATTACTTCTGGTGAGTAACGTAATCTGAATACTTTGGATTACTTGATTTGCTGTACAGAAGCAAAGACTAGGAAATCATAATATAAGATGTTTTGTCTGATAAAAGAAAATAAAAAGCCCAGACTTTACTGAACCGTATTAAAAATATTATTGATAGAAGACGACATGAAGACATGGTTTAGTCCTGTTAAATCCTGTTTTAGACCTGGTTTAGTCCTGGTTTAGATCTAGTTTAGACCTGGTTTTAGTCCTTGTTTAGTCCTGGTTTAGACCTGGTTTTAGTCCTGGTTTAGATCTAGTTTAGACTGGTTTTAGTCCTGGTTTAGATCTGGTTTAGACCTGTTTTAGTCCTGTTTAGTCCTGGTTTAGACCTGGTTTAGATCTAGTTTAGACATGGTTTTAGTCCTGGTTTAGATCCTGGTTTAGACCTGGTTTTAGTCCTTGGTTTAGTCCTGGTTTAGACCTGGTTTTAGTCCTGGTTTAGATCTAGTTTAGACATGGTTTCAGTCCTGGTTCAGTCCTGGTTTAGACCTGGTTTCAGTCCTGTTTCAGTCCTGGTTTAGTCCTGGTTTAGATCTAGTTTAGAACTGGTTTTAGTCCTGGTTTAGGATTTAGTGTGATTTAGTGTCCGACAATGAGTGGAATTACTGAGGAAAAAAAAAAGAAAAAGGGATATAGCCCAAAATGTGAAAACAGGAAAATACCATTGTGTAATCCATTTATTTCAACAAAGTAACTGTAATCCAATTACCGCTCACTGAAACAGTAACTGTAACTGAATACAGTTACTCATAATTCGTACTCTGATTACGTAACTCTGGTACATGTAATCTGTTACTCCCCAACACTAACTTTTACAACGTGATCAAATAAAAAAAGAGACAATTTTATCAAAAGACACATTTATTTTGGTTCCACCGCTTTGGATGAAGACCACAAACTGTGATTGGCATAATAATTTATAACACTTTATAAATAAAACATCACATGGACAAGTGGCATCACAGTGAAACACGTTTGTTTTCAGTGAATTTTATCCCAAAGTTGTTTTACATGAGGAGTTACTGAAAAAGATTTCCTACTCACAAAAGAAAATCAACTTCTTAAAGACGGGGTATTTGACATCTTTGGGGAATTAACAGCTAAACATAACATACTGAGATCATCATGTTACTTTTTATTGTTTAGAAATTGCTGTTTCCCATGGAAACAATGTATTAAAGGTTGTATAGAGGATTTTCCAAGGAACGAGAAATCCAGCGACTGTTTGTCCTTTTTCAAATGTTGCGCATGCGTGAAACCACCCCCCCTCCCCTACAGCTCCTACGTAGAAACGCCTCCTCCCTCCTCCTCCTTACGCCAGAAACAGGTTTGTTTACAGCCGGTGCGCTGCACATGACTTGTAAACAACTAACTACAGTGTTGGTTAGGCAAGACGGAGAAGTGAGGAGCGGGGGGAGCGGGTGCGCGGACATTTCGTTCGCGGACGAGAAGTGAGGAGCAGGGAGAAGAGCGGAGCAGGGAGCAGGGAGAGGAGAGAGAGGAGAGGGGAGCGGTGCGCGGAGATTCCGTGCCCGGAGAAGTGAGGAGCAGGGGGAAGAGCGGATCGGGCAGCGGGGCGGGGACAGGAGCAGGAAAGGGGTGCAGAGAAGAGTGCGCGGAGATTCAGTGCGAATGAACTAGCTACAACACGCAGCAGCAAGCGGACTCTTTCTTTGCCTTGAAAATTACGTTTTCAGACATAGGATATCGCTTTCGTGTCCTGAAAAACGTTTGACTAGCTCTTGGAAATAAAGTACGTTTTCATAATAAGCAGAAGTTTCCTGTCCAGGAGTAATTTTGACCAGTGTCAGTCTTTAGAGCGTCTGCTTCAGTCGCGCCATCGCTGGAATGAATCTTCAAGAATCACCTTAGTTTGGCTTCGCTGCTTTTCCCCTTGTCTTCTTCTTTCAGCGACCTCAAAAACGGACTTTCTTTTGCGGCGAACTGCTCCTGGATTCTTGTCGCCATTGCAACAAACTTTGTGCGAACTGCGAGGAAGATATAGGTCAAAAAAAGCCGCTAAGAACTGTTGCGTTGGTGGAGTAAACAGCGTCTGTGCGGCTTGCGTCTGTGGACTGCGTGACAGTCGTACGTAAACCACGTACCGGCGGCGCGCAGGCAAGTCAGTTACACTAGAAACGTAGGGAGTTTGATTGACAGCCTGTCAGCTCACAGATAACGAGGCAGTGTCGTTATCTATTGGCAAATGTTTAGCCCCACCACGTCCAGAGTTGATGAATTTTTATTCTCTTTTTTTTGGTCATCATAATTACAAGGCTACTGCATCTCTATAATCTATCATTGACAATTTGAAACAAAAAAAAAAAAAATCCTCCATACAACCTTTAACATGTTTGCACTTTAGCTCTTCACAGGCTGAGTCCCTCCCCCTTCAGAGCGCCATCACAACACAATCAGCGTATATCTGGTTAATGAAACTACTGCACATTACATCAGGTTTGTCAAGTTGTTGTGCACAGTTTTGTACCATGTTTTTGTAGATTTACGGAGAATTGTCGTGTTGTTGTTTTTGCATAATACCCCCTCTTTAAGTTTCATAAAATGAGATTATCCTGTAGAAGAATCAGAAAACATTTAGCAACATTAAGTCAAAGATGTTTGTAAAAAATAAAGAATCAGAAAATTAGTTTTGTTGGTAAAAAAATGTCTAGACGGATTTCTGTTGTCATCAGTCGACTTCTGTGAGGCCGCAGGGTCTCCTGAACTCCTGACCTCTCTCGTGAATCCATTTATTTGAAACTAGAAATGGACAAAACAAAGTGTCAGTACTGCTCTCGTAAGGAGTTTAAAAGGAATCGGTGTATCATTAGTTCATTCATTTTTCAAAATAAAACCCAAAATAAGAAAATGAAAAAAAAAATAAAAAAATTTCTTCATTATTTATCTCTAAAACCAAAATGAAAAAACTGAGAACGATAAGTTTTTTTCTCCGATTTTGTGTTTAAATGAATAATGGAAGAAACGGATAACGGCCGTTTCCCGTTTATGTGACTTAAACTGCGATGCCGGACTTTTGCGGACTGAACCAGGCTAAACCAGGACTAAACCAGGTCTAAACCAGGTCTAAACCAGGTCTAAACCCGGACTAAACCCGGACTGAACCAGGACTGAACCAGGACTGAACCAGGACTAAACCAGGACTAAACCAGGTCTAAACCAGGTCTAAACCCGGACTAAACCAGGACTGAACCAGGACTAAACCAGGATTAAACCAGGACTAAACCAGGACTAAACCAGGTCTAAACCCGGACTAAACCAGGACTGAACCAGGACTAAACCAGGACTAAACCAGGACTAAACCAAGTCTAAACCAGGACTAAACCAAGTCTAAACCAGGACTAAACCAGGACTAAACCAGTTCTAAACCAGTTCTAAACCAGGTCTAAACCAGGACTAAACCAGGACTAAACCAAGTCTAAACCTGTTCTAAACCAGGACTAAACCAGGACTAAACCAGGACTAAACCAGGTCTAAACCAGGACTAAACCAAGTCTAAACCAAGTCTAAACCAGGTCTAAACCAGGACTAAACCAGGTCTAAACCAAGTCTAAACCAAGTCTAAACCAGGTCTAAACCAGGACTAAACCAGGTCTAAACCAGGACTAAACCAAGTTTAAACCAGGTCTAAACCAAGTCTAAACCAGGTCTAAACCAGGACTAAACCAGGACTAAACCAGGACTAAACCCGGTCTAAACCAGGACTAAACCAGGACTAAACCAAGTCTAAACCAGTTCTAAACCAGGACTAAACCAGGACTAAACCAGGACTAAACCAAGTCTAAACCAAGTCTAAACCAGGTCTAAACCAGGACTAAACCATTTCTAAACCAGGACTAAACCAGGACTAAACCAGGTCTAAACCAAGTCTAAACCAGGTCTAAACCAGGACTAAACCAGGACTAAACCAGGTCTAAACCAGGTCTAAACCAGGTATAAACCAGGACTAAACCAGGTCTAAACCAGGACTAAAGCAGGACTAAACCAGGACTAAACCAGGACTAAAGCAGGATTGAACCGGGGCCTGAACTAGTTCTAAACCGCGGGTGAAACGACTCGGACTCGGCTCGGAGCTCAAACAGCAGTCGTCTGATCACGCTTTGCGGACACCCTGCTCCACGGGCTTGTGGTTTTCTCTCTTGCTCTCAAGTCCCAGATTAGTCCCAGATTCCACCTGTTAGACCTGGTTCAGTCCGTATGCAGTGCAAAAGTCCGGCATCGCAGTATAAGTCACAGACAAGTTATCAGTTTTTTCCATTATTCATTTAAACACAATTGAAAACTGAAAACACAAACCGTTTTCTGTTTTTCATTTTGGTTTTGGAGACAAATAATGAAGAAAATAGTTCTTTTTTCATTTTCTTATTTTTGGTTTTATTTTGAAAAACAAATTAACAAATTAAAAAGGTCCTACTGTATATTATGCAAAATAGACTCTTGTAAGCTTTTAGTCATGTTTTAATGCTGTTACCTTCTCAAAAACAGACCTGGACTTGTGTTTTGTTTCATTCACACATGTTTGAGTAACACTTTATTATTAGTCTGTCTACATCTCCAAAGTTCAAAATGCTCTGTTCCAACTGGTGATGTCATGAAGAGGTAGTTTTCAAATTAAGAGCTCCATTTTACCTTTAGTTCAGTAGAGATCGGCAATTCCAGAGCTGATATCATCGAAATGATTCTAGTAAAGGTGTATGGAGTTTAAAAAGTGGAGCACTTCCTGTATTACCACATGACATCACAAGGTGGAACAGAGTGTTTTCCGTTTGAGAGAAGAACTCAAGTCTAAATATGCAGGTTTTGTGTATTAAACATGTGTAAATGAAACAAAAAACACAACTCCGGGCATGTTTGTGATGACATTATAACAAGTTCAGAAATAGAGTAATATGGGCACTTTAACTATGTACGTACACATTATAAATAAAAGTAGCACAACAGCCGTAACACAACACTCACCCCATTTACTCCCCACTAAAACGGGACATGCTGCGTGTCTGGTCCTGTAGTCGCCCTCTCCGCTCTTGAACAGGTTATACCAAAACACTGAGGTTCCCTGTGGAGACACGAGGGCAAAGGTGAACTGGAGGACTTCACTAACTCTCTTCAGGAAAACAAGCGGTGAGGAGGGTTTGACAGCTCCGGCGCTGCCCTGGACTCCTGCTGACAGAGGCTGATTACTCCATCGCACAAATCACATGGGCCGTACTGGTGCTTTGACAATTATGTGAAAGTGTGAAGCACGTTTAATGTCCATATTTGTATATGTATATTACAAATAAATTACTGAATATATTGCAAAAATACAGACCTTTAATCTGGCCCTAGGCTGATTTTCTACTAAAATATTTTAATTATATTTTCTATTAAAATATTGGTAATTTTCTGCGGTGTTTATTACAGCAGCGTCTCTGTACGTGGCCCCTCCCACCAGAGCAGCACAAATGAAGACTTGTCTCTTTCCAAACGCTCTTAAAGGACGATCGTTTTGACTGTTGACCGTGACACCCTCATCAGAAAAATGTCAAAAATGAGAAAAGTGGAGCCGAGTGCAGAATTTTACAAGAAAAATGTACTTATTCCTGTTTACATACAAGTTCATGTTAAAACATTGTGTTGAAATTATATTTTTCTTAAAGTTTCAGGTTGTTCATAATATTATAATATTTTGTAAAAGAAAGAGTTTTGTAATAGATTTCTGTAATAGATTTGCATTTATTTAATATTATAAAATATTAATATTTGAACTTCTTGTTATTTTTGGGGTTTATATGACATGAGTTTTCTGATCCGGCCCTTTTGGGATCAAAGTTGGTTGGATACGGCCCCCGGACCAAAATGAGTTTGACACCCCTGTGTTATCTAGTTGTTTTGTTTCATTCACACATGTTTAAGTAATTTATTTATTAATCTGTCTACATCTCCAAAGCTCAGAAAGCTCTGTTCCAACTTGTGATGGCTGAAAATGGTAGTTTTAAATTTAACAACTACCTTTTATCTTTTGTTCTGTAGAGAATGGAAATTCCAGAGCTGAAATTATCCAAAATGATGATTATGAAGGTGTGTGGAGTTTAAAAACACAGAGGTTCACTTCCTGCATTAGCACATGACATCACAAGTGGAGCAGAGTGTTTTCTGTTTGAAAGAAGAACTCTAAATACGCAGGCTGTGTGTAAAACATTTGTGAATGAAATGAAACAAAATTCTAGGTGTGTTTTTGATAAAGAACCATTATACGATGACAGATCAGAAGACAGTAATATGGGCACTTTAAGTTTCAGACATTTTTAGTAAATACCTTTCTGCCGGAAGGTCTGGAGTCATCTTTTCTGGGCACTCAAAAATACTCTGATTGCATTTTTCCAGTTTAGTTGCATCACTGATAAAACCCTGGACTTCTCCTATGCAATTTTAAAACCAATGAAACTGTTGCCGTCACGTCGTTTAAAAAAAGCATGTTTGAAAGAGAATTGAAGCTACAAGAATGCGACAGATTCTGTGTCATGTAAAGCTGTGTACTTATAGGACAAATGAATAATACTACGTAAACGCTGAACACCTCATGTCCATAGACTGTAGAGCAGTGAACTATGTGAGTATGTCGTAACCAGTAACATTCGGCTTCAGTCAAATGAAGCTCCTAAGGGCAGGCAATTATAGGAGCAAATTTGGAGCCAAGTTCCATATTTGGAATTCTCACCATGAGTATCTAAGGCTGCGTTCAGACTGCAGCCTGAAGTGACCCAAATCCGATTTTTTGGCTTTTATGTGACGTGTATCTGATCTTTTAATGACAGTCTGAACGGCACAGATCCGATTTTTTCAAATGTGACCCAGGCCACTTGGATATGTGCTCCTGAAACCGATACATATCTGATCTTTTGACATGTGACTTCAGTGTGAACGGCCAAAGCGCATTCATCCGACCTACACGTCATCAACAACCGACAAACGTCACTATTCTGCGCTGAAGCAGGCGGAAACCGGAACTGTAAAATCGCCAGGTGCTCAATGCTCGCGTCCATGTTTGGACAACTTCCGTAAACACAGAGACGCTCGCTGCGGTTGACGCATGGGGTTGACGTCGTCGTGTCTCCAGTGCACATGCAGGACACTTTCGGGCCGTTTACCGTTCACACTGGAGTCACAGACAAGTCGCATTTAATTGGAAATGTGAACGACCTCGCAAAAACATCGGATTTCACAAAAAAAATCGGAATTGAGCATTAAGCCCTGCAGTCTGAACGTAGACATAGACCCCGAACAGCCAATCCCTGCTAACAGGGAGCAGGTTCTTAGCAACTGTCAATCAAACCTGACCACGGGGAAAGAAAGTGTGTGATTTGTCTGTTATTCATGTTCATATCTTTGATTTATGGACCAAATAGCAAAAATAAAAACACAAGGATCATGTAGAGTGAGTTAATATGAACATTTTAAGGACAAAATGAGGCACAGCAAAGAGAGGGGCAACAGTTTTTCAATACAATCTGAACAGGAACCAGTGTTGATGGAGCTGGAAGCGCGCCCATGCTCACTTCCTATTAAGAATTATAGCGGCTACCGGGTTAGCCATGTCCATTTACAGCTTGTGCTCGTGTCTCACCTTCCGTGGACTGATGGCTGCTCCAAAGTCTGGGAAGACTGTTGCACCTCCAGCCACAACGTCACTCATCTGGATAAAGAACAAATAATGATAAACACAGTCACGTTCTTCTACAGGCTTTTCAGAATTCCTTTTGGCTCAGAGTTACAGCAACAGACCCACGTAGTATGATGTATGAACTGTAAGGACACGAACTCTGTATGGCTCAATAAACATGATTCAGTTATGCATTTCACACAGTGTTGGAGCTGGACAGTCAAAACACACTCAACGGAAAGTGAAGAAAAACACGGGACAAAACAGAACTGCACTGACAATGAGAGCTCTGATTGAAAATAATGTGTTTTGGCACGCCCTAAAATTGATTTATAAGTTTCTTTTACAAACGTTCAGCCTTGTGTTCTTCGAAAGGTAGTTTCCTGAATCAACACTGAACTCCATGTTGCAAGAAAAAGAGAAATTTGTCCCATGGCGTTAACTACATTTTTTACTTTAAATGGTCCTATATTACACAAAATTGACTCTTGTGAAGTTTTATCCATGTTATAATGTTGTTACATCCTCGAAAACATACCCAAAGTTTAGTTACATTCACACGTTTGGGAAAAGCTTTCTTATTAGTCTGTCTACATTCTCCAAAGCTCAAAATGCTCTTTTCCACCTTGTGATGTCATGTAGTGGTAGTTTTCAAATTAACATCAACCTTTTACATTTAGTTCAGCAGAGATTGACAATTCCAAGGCAGAAATTATAGAAATGATTCCAGTGAAAGCGTATGGAGTTTAAAAACACAGTGAGGCGTTTCCTGTGCTGTGTTGCTTCTCTCCTCAGACATGACATCACAAGGTGGAAGTGTTTTCGGTTTACGAGATTTCTAAATTTGCAGGTTTGTGGGTTAAGCATTAGGGATGTTACAATAACTGAATATCATGATATTGTATTGTCAAAAGTCTCACAATAATATCGTGGACCATCACAATAGGTCCAATACATGCATACCGAATTTCAGACTTCCGGTCATCGCACAATACATACTGGGAAGGGTCCTCCGAAAAAGTGAGCATCAAACCTCCACGCTTTTGTTGTGGGATGCGTGGATTGTCAAAGCCGATCTTTTCTACTCCTTTGAACCATATCACTTTTGTTTATAGCCCTCACCTCCAGTCTCTCTCTCTAAAACCTTCAAATCAGGCAAGAAATCTCGGGGTAATAATGGACTCAGACTTGAACTTTAACAGTCACATCAAATCAATAACATCTGCAGCCTTTTACCATCTAAAAAAACATAGCAAAAATCAAAGGTTTATTGTCTAAAGCAGACTTGGAGAAACTTATCCATGCGTTTGTCTCCAGTAGGTTAGATACTGTAATGTTCTGCTCACTGGTCTCTCCAAACGAGCTGTGAGACGCTGCAGAACATCCAGAACATCCAGAACATCCAGAACGCTGCAGCTCGGGTCCTGACTCGAACTAGGAAGTACGAGCACATAAGTCCTGTGCTCAGGTCTCTGCTCTGGCTCCTGTGGCTCAGAGACTTTAAAGCAGCTCTGTTTGTACAAGTGTCTCCATGGCCGAGCACCAAAGTCCATCTGTGACATGTTAGTGTCATATGAACATCTCACACTCTGAGGAGCTCAGGGACCAGCCTCCTGCTGCTGCCCAGAGTCACGACTAAACAAGGGGAGTCAGAGTTTCAGGTTCATGCAGCTAAAACCTGGAACAGTCTGAACATGTGAGACAGACTCTTCTGTGACGCTGTTTAAATCCAGACTCAAAACATTTCTGTTTAACTGTGCAAATAACTGAAAGGTTTTCATTCCGCACTCTTCTCTCCAATGTATGTCTCTCTTTTTTTTATTTTAATCTTCATGATTATTTATGTTTTTATTTGTTTTTATTTGTTTTTATTATGATTTTAATGCATTTCTTATTCTGTAAAGCACTTTGAATTACTTTGTGTACGAATTGTGCTATACAAATAAACTTGCCTTGCCTCTGATATTGTCATATTTTGGTTATGGGATTCTGACATCGTAATTGTGTGGTTGTTGGATGTCCTAACAGCAGAAAACGGCTCGAGAAATGGGCTTCGGAAGTTTGCGAACTCCTTAACTGCAAAAGTGAATCAGATGTGTGTGACTGCAAACCTCCGTTCAAACTGTTTCCCTTCCCAACGGAATTGAAAAACAGCGAAAGGTGAAAGCGATGGCTGCCTGAATCATCCCGAGTTTGCAGCGAACATTTTGTATGTGCAGCACCAACAAAGCAAAATCCCGATCCCTCGCTTCACCTTGGTTACGATTTAAAAAAGTCAACGCCAAAGCGAAAGGCACCAGCTGTTCACCGAAAAACACCTTCCACTGCAAAGCGACCCAGACGTGATGCCACAAGAACAAGAAAGCGCAAGCTCGGCCTGTGTGTCTTCTGTAAAATGTTCGCTGCAAACTTGAGATGATTTCTTCGGCAGTGAAAAGTTTCCTTTTTCGTCCTTCCTGTGGATCCATCCTGCCCATCGCCTTCGCCTTTCACTATTTTTCATTTCCGTTGGGAAGGGAAACAGTTTGAACAGAGGTTTGCAGTCACACACATCTGATTCCCTTTTGCAGTTCTGGAGTTCACAAACTTCCAAAGCCCGTTTTCCGCTGTAAGGACACCCAAGAACCACACAATTATGATGCCTGAATCTAACTAAATCAAATATGACAATATCAGAAACAAAAGCTATATCAATAGACGCATCCCACTGGAAAATCAAACATGGTGGTTTGATGCTCACTTTTTCAGAGGATCCTTCCCAGTATGCATTGCGGGATGACCAGAAGTCCGAAATTCAGGATGCATGTATTACACCTCTCTCTGCTAAAATTAATAGTTATAATGCAGCAATATAGCTAAAAACAGAGAGAACTACTTATACCATGATCCTTTGCTCCATTTCAGTGCTGATTACTAGTACATGAAGGAATAACTTATTAATAAGCACTTTAAAATCTTAATTCAGATTAAGAGCTTGTCAAGGCATATTCACCATTTTGTTTGCCTCCACAAAATATCGCAATATCGTACCATGACATGTATATCGTGAAAATATCGTACCGAGAAATTTGAATACTGTTACATCCCTATTAAACATGTGTGAATGCAACAAAACAACACAACTTCAGGTATGTTTGTGATGAGGAAACAACATTATACATAGATCAGAAGGAAAAAGATAACCACAGTTAGAAATATTTGGTCATATTTTATTCCTGTGATGCCAAAAGTTAATATTTTGTTGAAGAATAGATACGTTGTAAGTTGAATAATTATTGGTGATTCATGTTGATATATGATGACCACCTATCCAGCTTCACAATTTCGGCCTTGCTTTTTGTCCCACATATTTAGAGAACATCCCGATTTGTGGACTATGCAAAACTTTCAGGGTGTACTGGCTTTCAGGGGTTGTATTTTGTTGGTTCTTCTTGCCATTTCAATCCCTCTAGATCGATTGATAGAAATTGAAATTGTGTTATGGGGCTCAACAGTGACTGCCCACCTCTTGGTTCCAGAAGTACATTTCTCATACATTTTTTCCCAAAGACAAAACAAAAATATTAAAATATTAAAAGTTTGAAAGTTCAGGGATTACGAAACGGTTAAAAATGAGAAAAACAGAAATAGTTTATTAATTAAAGACAGTAAAAATCAGATCCAGCATCTTTTAAATTTCCTTTCCTGTCTCACCACATTCAACGTGTCTCTTTTTCTACATTTTGCGGTGGTCACCCCAGAGTCCTGCTGCGGTACGGGCAAATAGTTGCTGAAACCGGTGGGTTTTAACGTTCTGGAATTTTACGGGCGGTCAGGACTAAACCAGGACTACACCACGACTAAATAAACCAGGACTAACGTTGGACTTAAGAGAGAGCTCCGAGCCCACGGAGCAGGGTGTCCGCAAAGTGCGATCGAGCGACGTGGGGCATGGAGCTCTGCGCCAGTCCTTTCGCCTGCGGTCACCCAACAGTCTATGCAGGTGCACCTCCAAACCCGTCCCGACAGTTGGTCCTGCTCAGCTCTGGTTCGGTCTCCTGGTTCGGTCCTGGTTCGGTCCTGGTTCGGTCCTGGTCCTCCTGGTTCAGTCCTGGTCCTCCTGGTCTCCTGGTTCAGTCTGTGGCGCAAAAGTCTGGCATCTCAATCAGTGTTTCTTCTGCTCAGTAAATAAAGCCTGTGAAGTGATGACAGTCGAATCACGTCTGTGAATTCATATTTATATTGAAGAAAGCGTAACCATTTCATTTCACGACTGTACCTCTTGAAGTCGTAATTCGTAATTCCTATTCTGATGGAGGCTTCAAGTTAGAACGATAGACTGTATAAAAAAAGTGGAGAAGTCAGTGAAGTCACCCATAGTGTTCAACGCCGCTCAAACGAAGCTCTCGATGCTCACGGTCACAGGAGCGAATCTGGAGCCAGGCTCTGTTATGGATTTTTTTGACGGACAAAATAGCGAAAAAAAAAAAAAAATCAGGATCATGTGTCGTGGGTTAATACGAACATTTTAAGACCAAAATGACGAGGCTCACAGCAGCAATTACAGAGAGAGGGGCGACAAGATCCTAATGTAAGTCAATTGGCGCCAGAGTCATAAGGAGCCAGAAGAGCCTCCTGGAGAACTTCCTATCTGGCACGAGGCGGCTACAGCGTTAGATATGTCCACTCATATATATGCTCTACGGTTAGAATGCTTTTAAGGGTGGAATGTTAACGTGTCCGGGTGGGATGCGGGTTTAACTTTAATATAATCACGGGTTAACAGCGGGTGCGGGTTTCCAAAAATGGACCCGTGCAGGACTCTGGGTCACCCTATTCCCTATTAGTACAGAACGGATTTAAACAGTTATAAACACTGGAGTTGCACAGTCATGACATTCACAAACCTATTCTGTCCATTTATTTAACTCCCTTCATGTTCTAAAGATATGTTTTTGTCAGGTTCCACGACGATGCTTTTTCATGCTTCTTTCACAAGCACATGAACATCTCTTTGTAGAACTAAAACAGTAAAAAAAAATAAAAAATTCAATCCATGCAGTCCCACTTGCAGTTACTTCAGACGACAGCATGTCTGCGGCTAACACGGGCAACTTTTCTTATTTGGATCATACTTCTGTTATATGGGGATAGGATGGAATAGGCTGGAAAATACAATCACTTTTTGGGGGGGGTAGTTTACACCAATTATCAGGCTATAACCATCCTATGCCCATGTCATTATTGAACTGTAAAGTAGCATGAGCAGTATCTCTGTGTCTACAGTCCTGCCACAGATCTGGGCCCCACTGTTGTAAACTAACAGGCCCTGGGATGCACTGACCACATGCACACATTCTTTGCATTTCATCGGACTTTGTTAGACAGAGTGAAACAAACAGAGAGTGACTTCTACATCAGCGTGTTAATGGGAGACGGCTAAACAAAACTCTCCGTAATGACACTGGAACTGATCACAGAGCGGTGGTTTTCACGCTCTAGGGACCTTCTGGAGCCTCGTCCTGGGACTGTGTGTGAATAGGCTGCGTTCACGTGACGTCAAGCAGGAGGAGGTGTCAGGTTTGTGGAGGTGCAAGCCCAAGTAAGGACACAGTTTTTCTAGATTTTTCAGTGGAATACACACAACCAAATTGGAAAAAAAACAAAAATTGTTTAATTTTAGTCTATTTTTTGGCTAAGTGTAACACTCAGTGGGTTTAATGCCACAGATGTGATTGTCTGTTGAAAATATTTTAAGACATGAGATTAATATTGCAGGTTGGTGGTCCCAGTCCTGACCATATAAACATTAGGTTTTATTTAAGATATTTCTTTCAAAAACATAAAATCTCCCACAGAGTTACACAGGCACCTGCTCATTTAATATGATGACATCAGATTCTAGGATGTGAACGCCCCCACAGGCTCTACTGAAGTGCAGAAGGTTTCTATAGTGTGAAAACCATTAAAGATTGAATTTGCCCATTTCCCATTTAGGAAAGACTTTAGTCCCATTTTGAAACCCAGCTTAGGTGGAGTGGATCAGTCCGAGTCCCAGATTGACAGAGCTTGTGCATTTTCCCATGAAGGTAAACAGAAGGTGAAGTTTAAGGCGTCTCCCACTCTCCTGGCGGCGACTGGACTCGTACTTACGTAGTTTAACATTGTGGCCACACGATTTCCAGTGCCTAACCTTTTGAACGCATCGGGCTCATCTTTCTACAAAGATAAGATTCACAAACAGGACACTTTGAGAAGAGGCTGCACACTGTTACTTACATAGTTCAGGAACGTGGCAAGTCTATTTCCATCGACCTTGAGATTGCTGTCAAAAGGACGCTGCAACACACATTTACATTTAACTATACAACTCTACTCACTATTTCAACAACAAATGTGTTGTGCATTATGGATCTGTTCAGGAAAAAGGTACATCACCTGCTTGTCTCCATGGAAACATTATTGCCTTGTCTAGAATGTTCATAGTATGGCATTAACTTATCACATAGAGACAAGCTGATGACACCAGGTTGGGTCACAGGTCAATTCTGTGGAATCGCTAAGTGAATAAATAAGATTAATGCCATACTGTGGAACATTTTATGAAAAACAAACATCTCCATGTAAACAAACAAGTGGCGAATGTCCCACCAGAAATATTACATAGTGCAACTTTAATGTAATAAATAAAGTTTGGAAATACTTAAAGTCAGAGTAAGTAAATATTCTCCTTTATGTCCAAGAGAAAGTAGTACAGCAGAGTGTACACAGACACACGCCCGTGAATTAAAAATAAAGTCAATTTTAACTAAGAAAATTAAAATCAAACTGTCAAAGTAAACATATAAAATCTTAATTATTCATCATCTTAAATGTTCGAAGTAAAAATAAAAGCATTTCTTTTGAAAGGAATCTTCTGGACATGCACCGCACACAACCCTCTTACCCTGGAGAAGTCATAATGGGGCTCATATTGTCCTCCAACACCGTAGTTGGCGACCTGCACAGATGCATGATGGGAAAGATCAGATTCCAGAGTTCGAAATGTAACTGTTCACATCATGTCGACAGGAAGGGACCCAATGGAGGTTAAGAATAAAACTTATTTATTACAATTTATTGGGTAATTTTGACTGCATTTCTTCAGTTTAATACCATGTAATGTTACTGAATATTTGTGCTCACATCACTTTGATTCATCTCATTATAAATAAATGTACTTTAATTAAAATGCTTAAAATACAACATAGTACCTGTAGTAACTCTGCTGTGTCTACTGTAAGTCCAGTCACGTCTTCTATTCTCCGATTGACTCTTTCAATGATTGGATCCTCTTCTCCTTCCAGCCATGCACTGAAAGAAACAAAAATGGAGGTTTTGTAAAATTATTAAAAGGTCCTATATTACCCAGAATTAATTTGTGTGTTAAAATTGTGTGATTGAAACAAAACACAACTCCAGGTCTGTTTGTGATGAGGAAACAACATTAGAACATAGACAGAAAACAGAGCAATACAGGCCATTTATGATGAAATACATTGAAAAGTGTGTGTTTAATGTCTTACCTTTTGGACACTCTGTACTGGGCTGTAGTCAGGACGCCTGTTTTGGGATCTCGCACTGTTGCTCGAGCAAGCTGTCAAATATCAAATTCACATAGTATAACTCCCAAAAAGACAAATGTATATAGAATTTTGAAACTAACAGACCATTACCGTTGCAACATCCCAATATTTCTATCTGACACCCTTGAGTATTTCTACTTCAGTACATTTTGGGGTATTCTTCTACAAATTCCCATTTTTTTTTGCATTTATCATGACTGACCCTGGGTTTCGCGAGCTCCTTGATCTTGTCTATTTCCTCGTCAGACAGGAAGTCGATGTAGCGTACGATGTGCGGGCTGTCCCACTCGTCCTCCTCCATGAGGGGGCGCAGCAGGAGCCGGGGGTTCTTCTGTCCGTCCTGGTACCGACAGAACAGGCGGCTGCGGCGGGCTTCATTCTAATAAGAAAAAACATGAAAATATCATCAGAAGATCTTCTAAAATACAACAGATAAAACAGACAACCACGGACATCGAGGGGTTATCATGAAAGTGATATTCGTCCACTGATCTGAAGGTTGGTGGTTCGAATCCCGCTCTCGACATAAACATCATAGGTTCAGCGGTCAAATCCACTGACCCACAGGTTGGCGGTGCAAGTCTAGCTCCCATAGATGAATACTGTTGTTGTGTCCTTAGGCAAGACACTTAACCCACCTTCGCCCCCAGTTGTCTATAGGCGAGTTTCATTGTTGACAAAAGTGCGCGTTGCATGCTGGGAATTATTTTGGTCGGCGGCAAGAAACACTAATTCAACATGACGGACGGAGCGAGAAAGCACGTAAAGAGTATTGATCCCGGTTATTTATCCACTTTAACGGCAGAGGACCCAAGACCTCAAGTCATAAGCATCGATGGACGCCAAATCACCCTTTTCAACCCAGACAAAAGTTGGACCAAACCAAATTTCTGGTCAGAATCGCCAACTACCTGGACAAATATGCACTTCGGCGATATCCACAATGACTTGGTGGAAACTCCTGGGCCATTCACAGCAGAAAAGATGAAAACCTCCAAGAGTCTCGATGTGTTGTTGAACTTGTTGGAGTCCACGGTTTGTTAGGATCTTCTACGTTTGCTCTGCGGATGTTTGAAAGTCATTTAATTCACCGTTAGTGGTTCTTTTCACTCAGAATACGAAAAAGACATTTTCCTTCTTCCGTGCTTCTATTTGTGCATCCGATAATGCAGCAGGAATTTACCATTATCGGGGATAAATACACAAGGTTACGCACTGTGTTTGACCGCTACCGTGTTTCTTGCCTCCGACCAAAATATTTCCCAGCATGCAACGCGGGCTTTTAATAACAATGACGTCAGCTGAAACTCGCCTATATACACTGGTGTATGAAAGTGTGAGTGGTTCTTTAATAAAGTGTTTTGAATGCCTTAAAAATGTAAAAGCATGACTGAATTCATGAATAGATATTTGTAAATGTACTACACACTAATTCTAGATATATATGTGCAAGTTATAAATATATATGTTATTGTATATTTCATTATTTTGTAGTTTTATTCCTAAATGTAAGTCTTTTATTTGAGGTTAGAGTTGTGCATTTGTGATGATAAGTTGCTAAATTCTTCCACTAGAGGGCAGCATTGTACCATAATACAATGATCTACTGTTCTGAGTGAGTTAAATAGGTTCTATTCACATTTACGTCACAAACCAGGAAGACGTTTGGAAACATACAATGACAACTTCTGGTGTAGTTCCTGATACTGGGCTCCCCTACCGACTGATTCAAGTAAATGTGATCAGTGGTAAAATGAAGACTGCAGACGTATGTGCTGTTTGGAATCATCTGGAATTTGGCGCCTCGTCTCTTCTCTTCTCACATGTACCCAGTGCACTACAGTACAATATCACGATGCGCATCTCATGATACGATATTTATTGCGATATTTTGAAGAGGCAGATTAATTATTTCAGTCATAATCCCAAGAATTCAAGTCAAAAAACATCTCTTTATGTTGTCTGCACTGAAATGAATCATGGGATATGTAGTTTCCTATGTTTATAAGCTGTTGCTACGATAAAACAATGCATTTAAGCAAAGGAACTTGTAATTCGATATATTGTGACAGCCCATGATATTATTGTGAGACTTTTGACGATACGATATCACAATATTTCGGTTATTGTTACATCCCTAGTTGTAACTTTTGATTAGTCGAATATAACGGAACGCTACAATGACATGGAGATGAAGAAAACTGGGACATTTTCAAATTTTTCCTAGATTTTGTCAGACTTACTACTGCGAAAAGAGCCCTCCGGAAGTTGTCATTGCATATTTCTAAAACGTCTTCCTGGTTTGTGACGTAAGCGTGAATAGAGCCTATTAAGTTTCAGGATGACCTACAAAAAACAAGTACAATTTCTCATGTACGCATCTAAACCAGAGGTGGGGAATCTACGGCCCAGGGACCATATGTGGCCCTTTAATCTTTTAAATCTAGCCCGCCGAACGTGAATAATAATAATAGTTTTCAGTGTTTTTAAGTCATTTCAATAAATAGTTAATACCGTGGGACTGCTTTGTAATGATTTTCTATTATGGGATATTTCAATAATGTTGTTTCTGTATAGGCGAGTTTCAGCTGACGTCATTGTTATTAAAAGCCCGTGTTGCATGCTGGGAAATATTTTGGTCGGAAGCAAGAAACACGATAGCGGTCAAACACAGTGTGTATTTATCCCCGATAATGGTAAATTCCTGCTGCATTATCGGATGCACAAATAGAAGCACGGAAGAAGGAAAATGTCTTTTTCGGTATTCCGAGTGAAAAGAACCGCTAACGGTGAATTAAATGACTTTCAAACATCCGCAGAGCAAACGTAGAAGATCCTAACAAACCGTGGACTCCAACAAGTTCAACAACACATCGAGACTCTTGGAGGTTTTCATCTTTTCTGCTGTGAATGGCCCAGGAGTTTCCACCAAGTCATTGTGGATATCACCCAAGTGAATATTTAGCCAGGTAGTTGGCGATTCCAACCAGAAATTTGGTTTGGGGTTGAAAAGTGTGATTTGTCGTCCGTCGATGCTTATGACCAATTTCTGGTCAAATGGTCTTGGGTCCTCTGCCGTTAGAGTGGATAAATAACCGGGATCAATACCCTTTACGTGCTTTCTCGCTCCGTCCGTCATGTTGAATTAGTGTTTCTTGCCGCCGACCAGAACAATTCCCAGCATGCAACGCGCGCTTTTGTCAACAATGAAACTCACCTATATCCCATGTTATTTTTTTCTCTTATGGAGGTAGATTACCAAAAAACTCCATCCACCTGCTCCCAGTCCGGCCCTTCCGTCAAATTTTAGAACCTTTTGTGGCCCACGAGTCAAAAAGTTCCATCCCTGATCTAAACAATAAAACCACCTTACTACAGATTTTTGAATTGAAAACTATTTAAATGGCGTTTTATTCACATTTTCACACAAGTTGTCTGCATGTCATTTAGTCCCACAGCCCTCTCACCATCTGCACCCCCTCTCCTCTGCACAGGGCCTCGTACGCCTCTCTCTCGGGCAGGTGGTCCTTAGGGCGGGTGTAGGTCCCCAGTTGGATGGGCTCCTCCGTGGCCTGTTCAAAAACCTGGTTCTGCTCGTTCATCTGCTTGGCCAACAGCACCTCGAAGTAACGAAGGTTCCCTCCTGCCCTCTGGTGGTTGGGGTCTGTCGGCACAAAGAGAGATTTATTCCAGGACATGATGACACTACTTTATTTGGTGAGTGGAAATGAGCAAATCACAAAACGTGTCATTATTTGTTATTATTTAGGTATAATTTAATATCCTTTTTCAGAGAACTATATTACCAGCCTTAAATTTAAGTTAAATTTCAATAATCCATCATTTCAATATAGTTTGTAGACTTATTTAATAGAGTCTGCAGACATAGGAAGCACCTGCACTGTAATTTGCACATTTGCTCTGGTCAAGACAGCTGGAAATAGCACAGCATAGAAAAGCTCCTCTCCGGACTCTTAGCTCCACTGGCCGTGAGTGTGAGCGGGCCTCGTCTGTGGTCAGCGCTGGTGAGTCTGTGGTGGGACTACACCCTTCTGTTTTGGCAACATGGAGCTTAGAGGAAACACACTGAAGATAAGAGGGGCCACCGTGCTGTGCATCTGTCATTACAAAGATGATAAGATAATATAAAAGCACTGTGCAGCTTTCCTGCTGGAGGTCGTCACTTCCTTGTCTCTGTTATGATGTTATAGCTTTGCCTAGAGTTCCAGAGTATGGCTTTAGACTTGTCTTTCAGGTGACTGCACCAGTTATAGGTCAGATCTGTGGAGAGGTGACCCTGCTCACACTAAGAATGTATGTTTTTCATGGTGTGTTTTACGACAGAAGTATAATAAATCTGGAAGATGAACCAAAGATGGTGTTGTGTTGTTTTCAATGGCCTGGACTCTTTGGTGCGAAATGCCAAAAAACATTTTTTTCTTCTGCAATTACTTACTGGCCTTGTATCAGCCACTGTGACGTCACAAATGCAGTTGCAGTTCTCTTCAGTTAGTAGAACAGAGTAGCACAGGCTCAGAGCAGGGTTAGGGTGAGTCTTATGAAGTTAAATTTTAGGTGCTTTTGAAAAATCTGATCTTTGTGAAAGCTGCTGATGCCTTGTAGAGCAAACACGGGTACTCTGTGATACACTGTGTAAATAAAAATACAATGTGCTCTATGGGATAATTCTTTCTGGGAACTGCAGAACCTGGAGCACCTTCTAACAGTTCTTGCACCAGGACAGAGGGGGAGTGTCCAGTAGGGTCCATCAAAGCATGGTAAAAAAATTTAGTTTCAGATAACCTCTTTTAGAACCTGCATTAGGTTTTTATCCACCAAAAGATGATTTAGGAAGAGATTTGGAAGAAAAAGGAGATGTTTTAAAAGGTTGCTCAAGCTGAAGTTTCCTGAAAAAGGCTTCTGCAAATGATGTTTCTTCGAAGCTCTTGATCTGATCTTGGCTGATGATGCAGACTTTCAGAAGGCTGCTACAATTGTGCATTCCAGGAAAGTTGTCAGTGATGTCGCTGAAAGGAAGTGCAGCTTATTCAAGAACTGCGGCCAAACAAAAAATGAAGATCATAAACGGAATCTACTGCAGATGTCTGGGACACAGGCTCATCTTTAGTGATGCCAACAAGGCTACAGTGGAGCTGGGCTTTATAAGTATCACTTTATGAACTTTCTAAACAACTTATATAGATTTTCTAAATAATTTTATGCACGTTTCAGTTTGTGTTTGCAGAGTGAAATTATTCAAACATGCCTTATTTATTTGGTTCTATGTTATAGTAGAGGTCCTATGGGGCAGTTTTCAAGTGTCTTGCACAACCTCTAAATATTAATTAATTAGCATAAAATTTGGACCCAAATATTTTGGCCAAATATGGAACCAAATGCAGGCTTCTAATCTAGAGAATCTTTAAAAAAATATATAAAAAAATTGGACCACCCTAGTATCCAGTTCTTATTATACTAGTAGATTCATGGTTTCTACACATAAAAAAGTATGCAACTAAATAAAAGCAAGTTTATGCTTAATGCCATACTGTGGAACATTCTAGGCAAAGCAACGAACAGGTGTCGGACCCCACAGAAGAGTAACACAATGCATCTTTAAAATGATAACTTACTTTACACACACAATATCTAGTCCAAAAAGTCACCCTGTTTCAGTGTGGGTTTATTCTTACCGATGGCCACCAGTCGTCTTGTGAGCTCTATGGCCCGGGGCAGGTCTCCCATTTGGTAAACAGAGTAGCTCAGATAATCCAAGATGTCCGACTTCGGTACTTCGGCCTCCTCCCCGGCGTCCAGCTGCCTGAGGGCCTGCTGCATCCACAGGACGGCGTGGTAATAGTCAGCCTCATTATACGCCGTTTTCCCCATCCCAAAGCAGTCGTCCACAGTGAGGCGAGCGTCAGAGTGGGTGCCTGGAGAAGACCAATCACACAGTTAGGATTGTTATATTGGAAGTACGGATACAACAATAAATAACAACGTTTATCGTGATGAAAAGGGTGGACAATAACCATTTGTGGGGCATTTTATTTAATCATGATAATCACCATTTTATCAGAAGAATGTGCAGAAAAAAGATACTTCGTTTACTTTTTATACTTTATTATTTATGATGATTTATTCTAGATGATCGTCGTTTTCACTTCCACTACAAAGTACAAGACTATAACAGATGTTTAAATATGGGACCCACTGATCAGCAACTTTCATAATTATCATGATATAATCGTTAATTCTTCTGATAATTGTGGCACCAAATTTTTATATCGTCCCATGACTACTAAAGCATGGAAAGCTGACCCGGTTGGACAAATGTTTAGAACTTATATTTGGGCTCGGTCAGACTTCGACACATCAGCACGTCAGCTGTTTCCTGTCACTTTGAGACTATGAAGTGTTCAAAAGGCCAGAACACTGCACTTCTAGATATCAATCAAAACTGTATTATTATTATTTGTGAAATGTGGTGCAAAACTTCAGATACGTGAATAAAGTTTGGCGATGAAGTCCACAGGAAGTAGAGTCACTATCGCCAATCTGCAGCTTCACCTCGATCCATGTGCTGTGTGGATGTAAACAGACACACGTGAACTACTTTCACCTTTTTACCTTTAAAAAAAAACGCCTCAAACTGGATCAACAGTAGGGGTGGGCGATATATCGATATTTTAAATATATCGAGATAGTTTTTAAACTCGATATGAATTCTGACATATCGTATATATCGATATAATGCTTATATTAAATTTAGAATTCGCCGCTTCGCTTGTTTGTCTTCTCTCTCGTCGCCTCCGCGCCCCCGCCTCCCTGATTTTGTTCACTCGTGTCTCCTTCACTCCTCACTATCGCCTTGAACGCCGAAAGTTGGTGCGGAAACGGAAAGCTTCAAGCACCACGAACCTTTTCAACCATTTACAGACAAAACCATCAGCAGCACATCCTCATATTCCACCGAGTCGCGTCCTTTAGCCCGAAAGAAGCTAAACGAGCTGAGCTGCAGGAGAAGTGCTGTTTATGCAAATGAGCCATGCGCTTAAGTTTCGTTTCTGTAAAATGTAAACACACGTGCGCAAAACTGCATTAAACACATTATAATGTCAAAACGGCTGATGTGGCTCTAGAGTCGTTATGCTTTATATATTGTAAAGTTTAGTAATGTAAAGTTTATTTATGGAGAAGATTTTAATGAATAATCTGCTGCAGTGTCACTTGTACAATAGTGTTTGGAAACGTTGGGTTTGATCTGCAGCAGTGGATTGTGTGGATTAAACCTCAGAGCTCCTCACTGCTGGAACATGGATCTATTAAAATAAGGAACATCCTGAGTTTCTTCTGCTGAAGGAGCTCATGGTTCTGGTTCTGGTCTGGATAACAGAGTTAATGCAAAGATGAGCTTGTCTTGAGTTGTTTTATCTATGAATGAAAAGAAGGAAATGTGTATTATTTATTTTATTTTACAGTTAAATTATTATTTATGTAATTAGGTTTTTTGTAATCTTAAATGTTCCTATATGAACTGCCGACCTCTTACACTTCAATAAAATTTTTTAAATTATTTTAGCAGATTTGTTTTTGCAGTTTTCAGTTTTAGGGGATTATTTTTTCTTGAACATATATTGAGATATATATCGTATATCGATATATATCGAGATATAGCAAAATATATCGAGATATATTTTTTGATCCATATCGCCCAGCCCTAATCAACAGTGCAGTTTTGTGGACTGGATGTCATTATTTGGGCAGGACAAATTCTATGATTAATGTGGATGAGATGTTGCTCTTTAAATTTACCACTTTACAAGAGGTGAGCAATCAAGTCTTCATTATTTTCGCTATATCCTGAGTTTGTTTAGAGGCCACACAAACAATATCCTACGTGTGTCTTTAGTCGGCCTATGAAAATAGTGTGATTTTAATTGTGTCATGTTCAGTCGGGCTCGAACACAAATATCTTAATGCCTATCAGCACATGTCGGGTTCTATTACTGCTCTGTCGGACCTGCCGGGCTGGGACAGAAAAAAAATAAAAAAAAAATCAGCCCAAGCCACACTCCAGTGCCTACTTTTAGGATGGTTTTAAAAAAGGAACAGTGCATATTGATCACGCCATCATGCTGGGGGTGTTCTGCATGAATATGAATGGCCTTGTTCAGCAGTTACCATGGTGACACAAGGCCCACATTGGCAAAGTGTCAAAAAAGTTTAGTCTGAAAACTTCAAAATGGATTTAAACAGCACATTTTTATGAGCCTGTGAGAGTGTTCGTGGTCCTGTTTAGGAGTTTTCAACAAAAAGGTGACAGCTACTAACTTAAAAACTGCTCTCTTGTAGTTCCAGCTAAACCAGCCTTTTCTGTACAATTATGTTAAAATAAAACTCAGATTAAAGTCTAAATTTGAGTGATACAGCTGCAGATGGAGCAGTGCTTCACACCCCAGGGAATGTTGATGACTTCAGAATAGTATATTTCTGTTTAGTAGAATACTAAACCCATGACCAGGTAAAATAAATACATACAGAATTAACAGGGTTCCTACTCTTTTTCACTGACAAAATTTCAACACTTCCATGACATTTTCATGACCTAAAGTGAATTTTCCATGACTTTACAGCACCTACATGTGTAGAATTGATTAGACTTTTAGAGCTAAATATGAAATGTGAACTCTTCCCACTCACCTTATGGTTTAGGATTCAAGTTTAACATTCAAAATTCTGTCAGTGCATTTATTGTCGTCTCAGTTAAAAGGTACAGACGTTCAGAAATAATCAGAATAGCCTCATGAGAACTTAACAGAACACTGGAGTTGCGTGAAAAAGATACTAAAATTCCATGACTTTTCCAGGCCTGGAAAATGACATTTTCAATTTCCATGACAAGGATTTCCATGACCGTGGGAACCCTGAATTAAATAAATAAATAAATAAAATGTATCTGTAATAATAATCAGAAAATAAAACTACACTTAAAAATATACAGTAAAACGTATGATCTTTTGAACTTAAAAAATGTTTTAAAGTAAGGATAACAGCAAAAATGTGGCTTGACGTCTTCCTCCTCCGACAATATTGTGAAATCTTGTGTTGTAGTATCGACCATTCCTGCCATTCCTAGATAAAAATAGCTTTACATGTGATTTTGGTTAAAAGTGTTGGATAACATTGCTTTTGTTTGTTGAATCACACTTTCAGGGGCCTTTGTCAGATTTTTTTTCATTAACTGAGCAAAATTGGTCTTTGGCTCCAGTACAGATGTATCGTTTAAGCAGCTCTTGAGGTCAATATATGCTGTGTACTATCATTTATTGTCTGATTATTAGGAAGTGCACATAATAATTAGCTTTACCATCTCTCTGCTCTAAATATTGTGAAAAAGTGATCACAGTGAGTTATTAAGATTCTCATAATGCATAAGATAAGTGAGGAATAACTTTGAACCACCGAAAACTGTTTAAAATGATCCATTTCTGTTTTTCACGCGTTTACAAGACAGTAAAAATCTGGTACATCATCTTGTACACTATTGTAAAACTTTTTATGGGAGTATTTATTTGATCTGGACTGATTACCGGGTAGTTTCCCTTGGGCGAAGGCTTCGGAGTCCAGCTGGTAGGTGTCCTGGAGGCGCATCAGGGCTTTGGCTGCCCCCGTCTCGTCCTCCTCGTCTGGAAAGTACTGCCTGTGAACCGTCATGTTCGAGATGAAGCCTGGAGCACACAAACACACATGCTTCCATTTAGATACTAGTACTAGTTAGATTTACTTGAGGGTCCAGTTAACCGGTAATGGAGGGAAACAGGGGCAGATTTTTTACATTCAAATGTCTCTTATTCAGAAACTAGAGGGACTATTGAAATAAGTAAAGTATCAGAATGTAGGAAAGAGTTAACACTCCAACAGGGTAAAGTTAAACCTGTGATATTCTTTCAAGTTGTTGACAAAAAATTTAAAAACTCATGTCGGTAACGGAGGGAATGAAATATGCAGCACTTTTTGGGCAATAAATACAAACAGTGATAACTAGCGGTTCTCACTTACATATCCTTAACAAACTGGTTTGAATATTTTAGTAGTTTAATAGTTTTCTACCATATGGTACAAGATTAGGTTGAAAAACCTCTTACTTTTTGACTCATGAGATTTTTTATTAAGAAAGGTCATGGTAACGGAGGGAAAAGTAATGGAGGGAAAATTGTGCAAACAAGTAGAAGGTGCATGATTTTGCATAATTTGTCATCTTTTTTCTTCCAAATACTTTAATATTACTTCAAAATGAAAGGAAACTATTTCTATAAAATATGTCAGACCTTCCAAGAATTTTTTAAAAATCATTTTAAATACTTTTTTTTTTTAAATCATGTACCTTCATCAACAGTTCAAAGATGGAATAACACAAGATAAGATGATCTAAATAAGTTGTCCTGACTATTATAGAAATGGAATGGATGGACCAATGTGCATAAAGCTGTGTGCAACATGTTAATTACACATCTAAAAATAAGCATCTCTCCACAAAACGTTTCTTTAAATTCAGCATTAAAAAAAACTAAAAACTTTTGTAACATCTATCAGTGACATTCACTTTCACAGGCCATTTCTTTATTTAACCGCTTAATAGTTTGGTTTGCTTCTTTGGCTCCACTGCCACGTTTACAGATTCCCTGACAAACACACACAGAGCCCTAAATCAAATAAACTTGTTTTACACTCGGCCAAAATGTGAAGCACAGAACAGCTGCGGTCCGTGTGCTCGAGCTGTTTGGCGCTGCGGCTGTTTGAAGGCAGCACAGAGTCGTTTCCTTTCCCTCCAGTCATCAATTTCCAAGACAACGCATTAGACATGAGGCAAATCCAAGTGTACAAAATACTAGGATGACAGTTACCATAGAGACCAGACCAGAGAGTGCTCGTGTAATGCCAAACAGTTGTTCCACTTTTGTTTGGACTTGTTTAACTGGCTTCTATTACACTATTTTCTGATCGGGTTGTAATATTGTTTCCTCATCACAAACACACACCACCTGGAGATGTGTTACAATACAGAAAGTGCTCCACTGTGTTTTTAAACTTCATACACAGTAGTAGTGGGGATTTTTTGAGTGGGAGTACGTGATTTGTGACGTCATCAATGTGACGAACCCCCCCCAACTCCATTCATAATCACCTACAGAACATAAATCATGGACTACAACACATGAACCAGGACTGAACCAGGACTGAACCAGGACTAAACCAGGACTAAACCAGGACTAAACCAGGACTAAACCAGGACTAAACCAGGACTAAACCAGGTCTAAACCTGGACTCTGGACTAATCTTGGACTAATCTTGGACTAATCTTGGACTAATCTTGGACTAATCTTGGACTAATCTTGGACTTGAGCGCGAGAGGGAGAACCCTGAGCCTGTGGAGCAGGGTGTCTGCAAAGTGAGATCGGGTGACAGCTGCTCTTAGCCCCATGAGGTGCAGAGCTCTGCGTCGGTCCCTTCTCCTGTGGTCACCCGACGGTCTACACAGGCGCACCTCTGGGCCCGTCCCGGCGTTCAGTCCCGGCGTTCAGTCCCGGCGTTCAGCCCCGGCGTTCAGCCCCGGCGTTCAGCCCCGGCGTTCAGCCCCGGCGTTCAGCCCCGGCGTTCAGCCCCAGCGTTCAGCCCCGACTAGGCATGGGCATTCGATGAAATTTTCTATCTATCGATTAATCATTAACGTTTTTATATTAAAATGATCATCATTATTATTACTATCTGCACTACTAATCTGCATAAATAAATTCAACTTTACGACATATAAACCGTAACGACTCTAGAGCCACATCAGCCCGTTTGACATTATAATGTGTTTAATTCAGTTTTGTGCAAATCTCACAGAAACAAAACTTAAAACCACATCGCTAATTTGCATAAACTCAGCGAAGATAAAACTACAGCTCTTGTGTCGCTGATGCGGTTCAACTTCTGTCGAATTAAAAGACATGACTCAGATGAATACAGGTTAGTGTGACCAGATTTGCGTTTGTCAAAACCAGGACACCGTACGGGGGGAGGGAGGTGGGGACTCGTCATCGACATTGCGCGACTCTCACCTGGTAAAACTTTTTCCCACTGGACACCGAAACATATGTGCTGCTTTATACACTGTGCACATGGACTCACACTTGTCCCGAACGCAACGGAAAGTGTGGAATTTCTTGTACAAGTCATCGTTAAATACGCATTTGCGCTTCGGTACGTTGCAGACTGACCGAATGTTTCTGTTTGCTCGCTCCTTCTGAGTGCAGAGACACATGTACAGACCCCTGTTTGGTCACACTACACACAGCAACCTGCATTCGGTTTGTCGATTAAAATTAACATTATCGATGAACTTCTTAATGATCAATTATGGATTCATCAATTAATCATGCCCCGACGTTCAGCCCCGACGTTCAGCCCCGACGTTCACGTTGCCCCGACGTTCAGCCCCGACGTTCAGCCCCGGACGTTCAGTCCCGATTCACTAATGTCGCAGGTCACTTTAGGACACTATTGGAGATATCATAAGCCGTTGTTTTCACCAGTGCCACTTGCTCCGGTTTGACATTTAGGTTGTAGCTATTTTATATTTGTTTTGTTTTTTATATCTCACGTTGGGAGAAGTGGGTGGACGGTGCACCCCGGCAGACCACGCCCACTACACCCCTGTCCATACACCTTCACTAGAATCACTTGGATGATTTGAGCCCTGGAATTGCCAATCTCTGCTGAACGTAAAAGGTAAAAGTTTAGCTATTAACTTGAAAACTATCACTTCAAGACATCACAAGGTGGAACAGAAGCATTTTAACATTTGGAGATGTAGACACTAGTAATAAAGGACTAATCAAACATGTGTGAATGACACAAAACGCAACTCCAGGTCTGTTTTTGAGGAGGTAACAACATTCTAACATGGCTTAAAGCTCATAAGAGTCCGTTTTGTGTATTATAGGACCTCTAAAGAACACTTATCATGGTTTCTTGTAGCTTTAATTAGTTTTTAAACATGCTGAAACTAGATACTGTGATAATACAGAAAATTCTTCTCTGTATTTTTAAACTCCATACACCTTCATTAGAATCATTTGGATGATTTCAGCCCTGGAAATGGCAATCTACTGACCAAAATTTAGCTGTTAACTTGAAAGCTACTGGTTCATGACATCACAAGGTGGAACAGAGCATTTTGAGCTTTGGAGATGTAGACAGACTAATAATAAACATGTGTGAATGAAACAAAACAACTCCAGGTTTGTTTTTGATGAGGTAACAGCATTTTAACATTACTTAACAGTCACAAGAGTCAATTTCTTATCATATAAGACCAGATGAAATCCACCCTTCACGTTATCTATACAAGCTGCTCTGGTCTATGTGTTATGTCAACATCTAATAGGGCAGAACTTGGGAAAAATTCAGACATTGCATATTTTTTTGGACAAGAAGTATAATAAAGTGTCTGATTTACGTTTGGAAAGTAGGAGCCTGTTCAGTGTCCTCATTCTAAACAGGCCCAAGAGCATTCACATTTGAGAGAAGAGAAATATGAACTGCACACTAATCCAAGAATCCAATGCATTTCAGTCTTAATTGGCCCGAACTTAAGGTCATCATGTGATATAATATGACCACACGCCATAAACAGAGGCACAGTGTCGTGTGGGAATCAAGCACAAAGTGACAAAACAACACACTAAGGGGTGTTCTACATGCATCTATATGGTGGAACATTCAGCAGTAACTATGGAGATACAACAAAAACACTAGAAAATTCTGCCAAAAAGATTTAAAATAGTCTAAAAACTCAAGAAAAAAGTACAAAATGGATTTAAACAATGGATTTTTGGGCAGTCTGGTGGTTCATGGTTCTGTTTAGGAGTTTGATTTTCGACAAAAAGGTGAGAGTGACAGAAAAACTAATGGCTAAGGCTGTTATTTGTTTTTAGAGGGATTGATAACAGCACAAATCATCTCACCTTCACAGCTCCAACTAAGGCTACGTTCAGACTTGCAGGGCTTAATGCTCAATTCAGATTTTTTTATGAAATCCGTTTTTTTTGCGAGGTCGTTCACATTTCCACTTAAATGTGGCTTGTATGTGATCTCCAGAGTGAACTTTAAATGCCCCAAAAACTGTCCCGCATGCTCTTTGGAGGACACGACATCACATGCAGCGAACGTGCTCAGTGTTTACGGAAGTCGCCTAAACATGGACGCAGCATTGAGCACCTGGAGATTTTAAACTTGCTGTTGTACCGGAGCCAGAACATGTACAAACTATTTGCTTTAACTCTTTCCCCCCTGGACGTCTACTAGGAACAACCCATACATATGTTACTAGGGCTACACCCATAGAGCATAATTGCATAAAAGAAAACAGACTTCCACGAGTGATTATAAATGATTTTTACACTCATTAACTTAATTGTAACACAGACATATTTGTATCTCTGGAAACCTTAGACTCTGAACTATTCATTTATGGATGTTTAAATGTGATTCAACTCATTTATAGATGTATAACAGCTCACTGAAAATGAGAGTTTACCTGGTCAGGTGCAAAATTGAAAACAAAAAAACTACATTCAGCATTTGATATATACATGTTCTGAGTACAACTATATTCATAAAAAAATAAAAAATATACTTTGTCAAAGTATTTAAACAGATTTCATATCACCAGATACAGTATAGCCAAGTGTACACCTGTTTTTACCTGTTGTTCACCTGTGTGCACCTAATTCATTTTTTTCCATTTAACTTATTCAACTCATTTTATTTATTCAACTAATTTAGCTTATTATAATATAATAATATAATAATAAAACTCTTCCCCGTCAGTGGTGTGTTCCAGTATTTGTCATCTTGGTTAATTTCTCATGTTCAGAGCTCCGCATAAGCGTTTTTTTCTGTAGCGATTCTGTTATACTTCGCATCTTGGAAAAAAAGACTGAAATATTTTAAAGGACTCACCGGGCAACATCCAGATTTCAGGGCAATTTTGGTTCATAATCGAGTATAAAGCTCAGATAGTTTGTTCGGATATCGCAGGACTCCACACAGACGCATCAGCGGCGTTCTCACCTTCTCCCCGAAAGTCCGTCGCTGTCGCTGTTTTCCACTTTATAATCAACTTCAACATCATCACTTTGAAATCTATAAAAGTCACTTTCTCTAAACTTATCCATAAAATACGTCCGCTCCTCATTATTTCTAAAACTGTGCGCCGCAGCGCCGCGATCTTTCCATTGCACGTGTTTCGTGTTGTGTTTTTTCCGGAAGCTACCATCGTCACTATTTCGATTAACTTCAGAAAAAATCGGCGAAAACATATCCTTGAATCCTATTGGTCAGTCTAGTGTGGGTTGTAGTGGCCCCCACCTATCACAGTCTCTGTTTAAATGTGAAAAACCGAGCCATTTCTAAAGGTCGTCAAATCTCGTCTTTAGTGATACAGCGGAGGTGTCAAAAGTCGTCATTAAGGGTTCAGGGGGGGTCGTCAAATGTCGTCTTCATGGGGGAAAGAGTTAAGCGAGAGGACTGAGAACATTTGTGCGCCTACTTGTACCACTCTCGCGGGAGGAATCACGTGTTCGGCGGCCTATTTCAGTGAGCAAACGTGTCGGTGTTGGGCTGTATTGGCTCACAACAGGTGCTTGTTATTGCACAATAGCCGGCCGGGTCGCATTCATCCGACCCGACTATTGTGAAGCACCTGTTGAGAGTTCAGAGGTCGGATATGTATGGGTTTTAGGAGCACATATCCAAGTGGCCTGGGTCGCATTTAAAAAAAATCTGATCTGTGTTGTTCAGACTGTCCCCAGGGAATATTAACAACATCAGCTGCCAAGTCTCAGGAAGTGTCATTAACATTTCTTCCTACTTGTGAGACATTATTATGAATATAAAATAGGAATAACTGTCTATACTGTAGCGTACCGTCGGAGGGGTTCTGCAGCACCAGGCTCTCCAGCTCTGACCACTCGGTGTTCAGCCTCTTCACCAGTTTGTAGGCGTTCACGGGATGAGCCAGGAAGCCCTCAGGGTCCGAGGTGGAGATTTTGGTCAGGGAGTCCAGCTTGTTGGCCCAACTACAGACACAGAAGATAATGTAACATTAACATTATGCAAAAAAAAAAAGAATAGGCCATTATCATTTATACAGGGTTCCCACTCTTTTTTACTGACAAATTTTCCATGACTTTTTCATGACCTAAAGTGAAATTTCCATGACTTTACAGCACCTACATGTGTAAAATTGATTTAGGGCTAAATAGGAAATGTTAAACCTTTCCACTCACCTTATGGTTTGGGATTATAGTTTTTTTGTTTTTCTTTTACATTTAAATCCTGTCAGTGCATTTATTGTTGGTGCAGACATTCAGAAATAATCATAATAGCCACATGAGAACTTAACAGAACACAGTAGTTGCTTGAAACAGATTCCATAACTTTTCCAGGCCTGGATAATGACATTTTCAATTTCCATGACTTTTCCAGGATGTCCATGACTGTGGGAACCCTGTGAATAGTATTTTAAAGGTTCTATATTACGCAAAACTGACTCAAGTCATGTCAGAATGTCCTCAAAAAACAGACCTGGAGTTGTCGTTTTGTTTCACTCAAACCCTTTTATTATTAGTCTGTCTACATCTCCAAAGCTCAGAATGCTCTGTTCCACCTTGTGATGTCATGTAGTGCGTGTGTAGTTTTCAAGTTAACAGCTACATTTTTGATCTTTACTTCTGTAGAGATTGGCAATTCCAGGTCTGAAATCATCCAAATGATTCTAGTGAGGATTTAGGGAGTTTAAAACACAGTGGAGCACTTCCTGTTTTACTACATGACATCACAAGGTGGAACATAGTGTTTTCTGCTTGAGAGAAAAGCTCACGGGTGAATGAAACCAAACAAAACTCCAGGTATATTTTTGATGAGGCACATTATAACATGGTTTAAAACTCATAAAAGTCCATTTTGCGTAATGTAGGATCTTTAAATTAAATAAATAAATAAAATAAATTGCATTACTATAGCATTTCTCCTGTTAGCATGCACAATAAAGTCAATTGTAAAAGGCTTACACCGAGTCTGTGACCCTCATCCAACCTCTGACCATTAAGGTGCTCAGATTTCACGTGGTCTTTCGGTGACCCAAAACCTCAGCCTGGAGTTACCTTTTGACTGCGGCCAGCTTGGACTCCTCAGCTTTGATGTAGTCCCTCAGAGACTGCACCAGCTCCTTCTCCGTGAACACCAGATCCGTCATCTGACCTGGACAGAGAAGACGGACAAAAGTCAGACCACGCAAAGTGTTTTTCCTGACTATTCACAGGGGCATTGTGTAACTTTAATGGTGGAGGGTCGGTCACCTGCTTGTTTCTGTGGATTTGTTTCTATGGAATGTTCCACAGGGTGACATTAAACAGCTCTACGCTACATTTATTTCCTTACAGCTGCTTTTGTAGCTCAAAAATACCCAGAAAAACAGGCATTCTGACACAGATCTGACCTGTAACTTGGCCTGGTTTAGTTTCCATGGAGATAGAAAGGTTTAATGTCATACTGTGAAACATTCCAGGCAAAGAAATAGCATTTTGTGGGAAAAAAAAAAAAGACGACAGACCCTTCATTATAAAAATTACACAATGCACCTTTAAAGTTGTACAATATTATTTTTGCGGTCACTTCCTCTTATAAAATGGTGGTGTTTAACTTTAAATTTGTCTATGGCAGGGACAGGCAATATTTTTTTTCCATGGGGCCACATGAGAAACAGAAAATATTGTGGAGGGCCAAAATGTTTAACTCAGTTCTGCATAATATGAATTGTATTTCTTTATAAAAAGCAGTAAATATCATTGTTTTGACAAGCTGGTCAGACTGGGAAGAGTTTATGTTATGATGAAACAATGAAAAACTGAAGCTGCCTTACAAAACATGTCATTTAAAAAAAAAAAAAAAAAAAAATCTAAAAGGTTTATTTTGTGATTCCAAATAATCAGAGTCAGAGTCAGAATCAACCAAAGGGTCATATGTGGCCTGGGAGCTGGACAATGCCCAGATCTGGTCTATGGTGTATTAACTGCTGACACATAACACATTTAGATCCAGATGTGACCTTTTATAGTTTTGAAACTGTTATATTTGTCAAGTATTAACATGTTTTATATGTATTATACTATACTTTTGCTTTTATTTTATTTTTTTAAGATTCTGATTTTGCATAATACCCCCTTTTTTTAAAAAAAAAATACACAAAATGTCTTTCAAAAACATTTATTGCAATTAGAATATATTAAGGATTGACTGTAAAACTGTTAATCAAAAGGCTGATCTTAGGTGATTTTAGAAGAGTAATAAAAGCAATGTGATATAAAGTAATAATTCTGTCATTTCTATTTTTAGGCTGGCTGTAAAATACAAGACAGCAATAAATACTACGGGTGGCAGTGGTGTTCTGTATGTCTGGATTCATTATTTCCATGTTCCAATTAGAATATACTGTTCTCTAGTGTTTTTAACTTGTGCAATACTATGAATTTAAGCCCATTAAACTGGCCAGTAGCACAATAAAAATAGCGTACGCTGGCCAATTCCTGTGGTCCTTTAATAGTATAGCATTACTCAGCACACACCACATCCACAGATGGTTTTAGATGAGGATTTAAGGGTCACTGTGCAAAGCCAACCATTCTGAAAACTCACGCTGGAAACTTTTACATACATTTGTTTCCGATGTTTGTTGATGTAAGGCTGTGATACATTCAGTTATTTCTAGTCAGTAAAAGAATATGGAGAAAGAAATCTGACTATTTTTTAGTGTTAAAAGACAATAAAGTAAATGTGTGGCCAAAAATCCTTGTCAAAGTCTGATCCCGTCAGGTCTCAGAAGCTCAGCAGGGCTGGGTCTGGTTACTACTTGGATGGGAGACCAGTGGGAAAATAAGGTACCATAGGGGGCCAGTGGTCAAAAACTGACATTGTGTCCTTAGGCAAGACACTTCACCCACATGAAAGTGGTGTGAGCATGAGTGCTGGTGCAGACTGGCAGCCTCACTTCTGTCACTGTGTCCCAGGGCAGTTGTGGCTACAGCAGTAGTTTACCACCTCCAGGTATGGAATGAAAGAATACGTTTTACACCAAAAGTGTAAAACGCCACACTGAGCATCTGGAAAAGCTCTGTATAAGACTAACGCATTACATAAAGTTATTATTTATGGAAAATAAATATTGAAACTTATGTTAAAACTCCATGTTAAAAATGAATTGAATATTCTGATTAACTGAAAAAAGTGGCACATTTTTGGTCATATCACCCAGACCTAATTGAAAGTTAAATAAACAAACCTTCAAAAACTAAAATATTTGATTTGGATAAATATGCAACTATTAAATTGGGGAAAAAAGTGACAAAAAGTAAACAATTCATATTTTTAAGTGTTAAAAAATAGAACCTTGAAAATCTTTTTTGATTATGAGCACATTTATGACAGTGGTGTAGTGAGTTACACATTCACTGAAGCAGAGGTACCTGATTTAATTTTTAGCTTAACTCAATATTAATATTTTGCAGCTGATGTCATCAGCATTTCTTGGGGATGTGATGCTAATTGGAGACACTGCTCTGTTTTAGGCTTTGTTAGACTTTAATCTGAATTTTATTTCAATACAATCAGACCCCAAAGTACCGACTTATAGTAACTGGAACTTCAACAAGCGAGCCGATGTGTGCTGTTAAACAAGTCCTGTTAGTCACTCTCGCCTTTTTGTTTTTAGTGTTAAAACTCCTAAACAGAACCACGAACTCTCGTATTGATCGCAGGCTCCTGAAAATGTGCTGTTTAAATCCATTTTGTGTTTTATCTTGAGTTTTCAGATGATCTTAAAACTTTTTTTGGTAGTTATTGCTAATGTGGGCAATGTGTCACCATGGTAACTGCTGAACACTACATCATAGACATACATACAGAACACCTTTAACTATATAAAAGTCCTGGTGACAATATTACTCATTCAGCAGCACTGGTCGAGAGAAAAAAAAAAAAAAAAAAAATTAAGACCATTACCAACACATCCATTTTAGGAGTCCATATACTGTATTTCTTTGGTGCATTGTTTTTGGGTTAAACATCCTATATCTTCTATTTTAAGCTACTTTATGATGCAGAACAGACCCGACTTTAACATGCTTCCATGGGTCTGTAAATGGTGCTATTCTTACACGAGCACTCAGCCAAAACAAACCACCACACAGCACAAGGTCAATTTGAGAGAAGAATTTCAGGAAGCAGACTTGTGGCTTGAAAACAGTTTTTGTTTAGTTTAAAACAAAGCCGCTTTCATTCTAGCAGTATTTTGTGCACAAAGGGGAAACGATACTTAACTTGATATTGCAGTTTGGAGAGAGCTAAAACACTGGGTAGGGTGCGCATTCGAGACTTCAATAGTCACTTTGTAATTTCAGCTTCCATCGGAAACGGATATTTAGAACTGAATAGAACCGACTAGAAACTGATTGTTTTTAACCATCTTTGCAAAAACGTTCCCAATATTTCACTTGCTGCTAATTCTTTCAAACGCTGTGTGAACTTGGCCTTAAATGTTGTTAACTTCTCAAAAACTTACCTGGAATTGTGTTTAGTTTCGTCCACACCTGTCTACAAAAATCTAAATATTTTGTTCCACCTTGTGATGAAGCTGCATTTATTTTAACAGCTCCTTTTACCTTTAGTTCAGTAGAGATTGACAATTCCAGTGCTAAAAATTATCCAGATGATTCTAGTGAAGGTGTGTGGAGTGGAACACTTCCTGTATTACCATATGACATCACAAGGTGGAACAGAGTGTTTTCAGTTTGAGAGAAGAACTCAGCCTAAATATGCAGAGTTTGTGTGTTCAGGTGCTGTATGTTTTGTAGGGATGCACCGATACTGATACTGGTATCGAGTATCGGCACCAGTTTATGAAAATTTGCAGGATAGGGTATCGGCTCCAAAATATCGGTTCTACAGATATTCTGGTTGGGGCTATGAATTTATGAATATCACTTTTTATTGGTTATATTTGGTCCAGAAAGTCTCATAATGTTTGAGGTAAATAAGACTAACATTATGGTGCAATATTTCTTATTTTTAGGGGAATAAAGTCTATTTTTAATTCCTGCACTGGTCAGTCTTTCCCACAGATCAGTGTTTCCCACAGGACCCCCTTTTTGGTAAAACTAAATAAATAGTATAATGCAATAATTATATAATAATGCAAAGTAAATAAATGAAATACTATAATTAGACCTAAGAAACTACTAAAGGTACAACAAGGCAACTAAATGAAATAATGAAACAACATTAGCAGGTGCATTTGCATGTCATTCAGAACACCTCATTTCATGTCGCTTTCTCATAAGGGACCTCTTTGCTTTCTGGTCCATTTTCTGCAAGGTGGGAAGCCGGGGCCAGGCTAACCCCAAACCGCACCGTGCTTTGTTGCAGTTCAGAGCGTCGGGACGAGCCCGGAAGTGCACCCGCGTAGACCATCGGTTGACAGGTGATGGGTAAGCGCAGCCGTCGCCCGATCGCGCTTTGCAGATACCCTGGTTCGCTCGGGGTCCCGTCCCCAGAGACTTGGGAGGAACAGTTTCCCGTCCCACCACCGCGCCGCAGGCAGAGAGAATCTGGTCTAGAGAGCAAATGGTGCACGTGTTTTATAAGTGTACCCCCACTGATATGTATGTGCGGCTGTTCTCTCTCTCGCTCTGTCTCTCTTTGTGTGAGAAAAAAAAAAAAAAAAGACGGTATCAATTTGTGGGGCTCTGTTTTCTTTCCGTAACGCTGAACCACAGATTGGTCTATGTATGTGAAACACTGATAATGGCAGATACTATGGATGTAACAATAACCAAAACATTGTGATATCATATTGTCAAAAGTCTCACAATAATATCACGGACTGTCACAATATATGGAATTAAAAGTTCCTTTGCTTAAATGCATGGTTTTACAGTAGCAACACCTAATAAACTACATATCCCATGGTTCATTTCAGCGCAGACAATATGAAGAAATAGGTTTTTTACTTAAATTCTTGGGATTTTGACACCGAAATCTTGTCAAGCTATTTTAAATGCAAAAAAGTGTCTATCTACAATTATATCAGCCTCTCCAAAAGATCACAATAAATATCGTTCCGTGAGATGCATATCGTGACAATATCGTATCGAGAGATTTGGATATCGTTACATCCCTAGCAGATACGTAAAGCCATGGTATCGGAATCGGTATCGGGACTGAAAAAGCTGATGAGGAAACAACATAACATCAGAAAATATCATACTCCTTTAAACTCATCTCTTTCTAAAAAGGCAAACAGGTCAGATCTGTGGAAAGTGGAGGTTTTGTCAATGTATTTTAACACAATCGCCACTGAATACATCCAAGACAGTTATTTGCCTGAGTTGCTATTTCACCAAATTTAAAGAGTTAAGTATTTTGTGGTACCTATGGAAGTGAAGATCTCAGCCTGTGTGGTCCAGAAGCAGCAGAGGAAGACCCACGAACAGAAGCCCACGAGTTCCCGCATCGTTTCTCTCAAGTCTGCAACGAAAAAACAAAATCACATTAAGTCATTTTCAAATCATAGACATTTTACAGGACAAACTGCAGTCATAATGGAACAGTCAGACAGTACTTTATATTTAGAACTCCCCCTTAAACATAACAAAAAGTAAGTCGGGCAGATTTTCCAGGGGGTACGATCCTTTGTAATGAGTGTTTGCGTCCAAACCTAATCCGTTCTTTCCATTATGTGTGTAATGTATGAGTCATAGTGGTCGGCTGGAGACGGGTTTCGCGAGGTTTTTCACATGATATTAATGTTTGGAGAAAGAGTAATGGTTTTATATTGGCCATTTTCAAGCTATTACGGTCAAATTTTGTTAATGCATCCCCAAAAAACTTGAAGCTCATGCAAAGGCAGATGTCCACGAAATTTAAACAAAGAAAAGCGAAATTGTAGTCTAGACATGGAATTTAAAGAGGGGGTGTTTACAGGGTATCCCCAGGTTTGACTACCCCAAATTTAACACTTTTTAAAGACCTTTTTAAGACCACGTAAATGAAAATTAAGACCAACGTTGCATCCATTATGTGGGCGAAAAACACCAGCAGATCCAGTTCTAATAATGACCAACCAACTACGCTACTATATCTAGAATCTAAGGCTACGTTCAGACTGCAGGGCTTAACGCTCAGTTCCGATTTTTTTGTGAAATCTGATGTTTTTGCGAGGTCGTTCACATTTCCAATTAAATCCGACTTGTATGTGACTCCAGTGTGAACGTTAAACGGCCCTAAAATGTCCCGCATGAGCACTGGAGACACGATGACATCAACCGCAGCGAGCGTGCTCTGTGTTTACGGAAGTTGTCCAAACATGGACGCAGCATCGAGCACCTGGAGATTTTAAAGTTCCTCTCGTACCGGAGCCAGAACATGAACAACTTACTTGTTATAAGGAGGAGACTGAGAAGGAGAAGGACGAGGTTTTTGGCCGTGGCGTTTTGTGGGGCAGTGGGAGCGACGTCAGTTGAAAGGAACGTGTGGATGTGGAGACGTAGCCAAGAGTGGTGAGTGGTGATGTGCTTCGCTTCAGTGACACGGAGTTCATTAACAATTTTCGCCTTCTTCAGCGCAGAATAGTGACGTTTGTGGCTTGTTGATAACGTGTAAGTCGGACGAATGCGCTTTGACCGTTCAGACTGAAGTCGCATGTCAAAAGATCAGATATGTATCGGTTTTAGGAGCACATATCCAAGTGTCCTGGGTCACATTTGAAAAAAAAAAATCGGATCTGTGTCGTTCAGACTGTCATTAAAAGATCGGATAAAGGTCACATAGAGGCCAAAATCTGATTTGGGTCACTTCAGGCTGCAGTCTGAACATAGCCTAAGAGCCACTGTGGATTAAACCGACACTTCCCCATGATCCATCCAACGTCTTCCTCCATTCTACTGCCACCGGCGCCAGAAACCAAATTATTGTTGGTGCATACTCCAAATTAGACGTTCATTTCACGTTTGCGTTTTATTTTTGCTCCCTCTGTTTAACATTGCACTGCAGTATACAAAAAAAATAAGACCTGGACAGCATAATTTAAGACTTTTTAAGGCCTTAATTCAGGAACATGAAATTTAAGACCTTTTCAAGACTTTTAAGACCCTGCGGCTACCCTGGTTTAACTTCTACGAGGTATTAACTGCCATCACATAACATTCAGATCACCATGTTACCTTTTACTGTCTTGAAAATCCTGTATTTGCCGATAACAAAGCATTGACATGTTTTATGAGTTTCAGTTTTTTGACACGCCAAGTCAGGGGTCTTGAGTGTTTTTCAGGCCAGGGACCCCCAAACTGATAGAGAGCTGGAGCAGGGACCCCCTACTATATATACACTACTATATATATGGCATGCAATTGTGTTTATACACGACACTAGGCCCAATTTTAACATAAACAGATATTCTTCTGTTATTGTACATTCAGTACTGGAGGGTATTTCCATCAAAGTTGCTTAATAAGGCTTATCCTTAAATCTTGAGCTGAATCCAACTGCATCTCCACTTCAAGCCTCAACTTGTTCCATGACAGAAATAATCCTGAGTCTGACCAAAGCTAAACTCAGGCCTGAAGTTTAAGCTGCAGTTTGTTCGCTCGTGGTGACTCTGAGAAGACCAGAGCAATGGAGTAAAAACATCATGAAAAATGGTCTCAAAGAAGTGTGACTTTTTATAAATGATTTGATTAAATGAGAGAGGAGCCACAGCGCACACGGACAAGAGTTTGATTTGGGACACTGAAATTTTCTGGTCATTATGATCTGAGGAGCGAGAGGAAAGACACGACTCCCCCTCCTCTCCCGGTCGCTCCGTGGACAGAGAGGAGGCGGCTGCGGAGTGTGGAGCCTGGATGATACGGCCGGGGAATGAAGCTCCCTTACCCCTTCTCGATGTGTGGTAGTACGTGCGTAAAAGTGAAGCTGTAACAGAAATGTTCACATGTAGACTAGAAGAAATGAAAAAATCCGCGCTGACGTGTTTGCAGTTTGACAGGGAGCGAGAGACGAGGGAATGAAGAGAGACAAACATGTGATGAAAGAGCGAACGGATAGAACCCACTGAAAACTACTTCATCCTCATCCTTCAAAAATGAAGAAATATATATTAAAAAAAACTACCCCCTTGTTGAAGACCTGTGCTCTAAGGCTACGTTCAGACTGCAGGGCTTAATGCTCAATTCAGATTTTTTTGTGAATTCAGATGTTTTAGCGAGGGCGTTCATATTTCCACTTAAATGCGACTTGTATATGATCTCCAGTGTGAACAGTAAACGGCCCGAAAGTGTCCCGCATGTGACACTGGAGACACGATGACGTCAACCGCAGCGAGCGTCTCTGTGTTTACGGACGTTGTCCAAACATGGACGCAGCATCGAGCACCTGGAGATTTTAAAGTTCCTCTCGTACCGGAGCCAGAACATGAACTTACTTGTTTTAAGGAGGAGACTGAGATTAGAAGGACGAGGTTTTTGGCCATGGTGTTTTGTAGGACAGCAACAGCGACGTCCGTTGAAAGGAACGTGTGGATGTGGAGACGTAGACGTGAGTGGTGAGTGGTGATGTGCTTCACTTCAGTGACACGGAGTTCATTAACAATTTTCGCCTACTTCAGCGCAGAATAGTGACGCTGGTGGCTTGTTGATAACGTGTAGGTCGGACAAATGCACTTTGACCGTTCAGACTGAAGTCGCATGTCAAAAGATCAGATATGTATCGGTTTTAGGAGCACATATCCAAGTGTCCTGGGTCACATTTGAAAAAATCTGATCTGTGTCGTTCAGACTGTCATTAAAAGATCAGATACAAGTCACATAGAAGCCAAAAAATCGGATTTGGGTCACTTCAGGCTGCAGTCTGAACGAAACCTAAGTCTCTCCCCCTTCCCCTAACACTTGTTAAATCACAACACAATCAGTGTGCATACTGCTAATGAAACAACTGCACATTGCTTTAGGTTTGTCAAGTTTGTTGAGTAGTTTTGTATGCATGTCTGTTTTTGTATAATTGTAGAGAATTGTGGTGTGGGAACATGGCTGATGTAGACTTGAGGGTTTGAACAGGGACAGGGAGAGATCACCAAAATACTCAAACATGCACGGATGATCTCTTCAATATATTTTAGGGAAAAAATGCAAGTTAGAGGAAAACCCTTTCATGTGGCATTTTCTGTACTGTTTCAGCGTGTTACATCTTGTGTAGATCTCCTCATATAAAGAGGCACTTATGTATTCATGTTATTTAATGTGCACCTCTTCCAGTACGCAGACCTTTCAGTATGCATTTTTTTTTTTGCCAGAAGGTATATTCTAACTTGACATTTGAACTTTAAAAAGGGATAAATGGTTTGCCCTAAGTATTAAGAATTAAGTACTTAATGCATTCAGAGCATCCTTACTCACCACGACGAGTTTGTAAGCATGTTTTACAACTTTCAGAGACCAGAGCTGAGTTCTTCTGTCATGGCAAAGCTAATGGCAACTAGCAGGCCAACAGCACACTTCCTGAGTACCTAACAGTAAACCTCTTTCCAATCGGACAGAACACAGCAGACTAGTTTGAGCTGCTTATACAATACAGGGTGTCCTAAAAAATTTGACATAACTTCATAGGCCAATAATTTTGGCAATTCTTGATGAAAAAAACTCAAATTTTCACAGAATGTTTAGAAACTAGGGTTGTAACGATATCCAAGTCTCTCGATACGATATGCAGCTCATTTTAAGGAGGCTCACAAAATTGAATACGCTACTTTTCTCTCGCCACAATCCAAATAATGGAGATTTAAAAGTGCTTCATAACTGTTATTTCAGCATGTAGATTGAACTGAAAGAGAGCAAAGGATCATGGTCTATGTAGTTCTGTTTTTTTTTTAGCTGTTGCTGCACCATAACAACTTGTAATTCGATATATGGTGATGGTCCACGATATTACTGTGAGACTTTTGACGGCACGAAGTCACAATATTTCGTTTACTGTTACATTCCTAATAGAAACAGACCAAGATTTTATATTTAATGTTTTATTTTTGTTCTGTTTTCAGGTTGAGTCATGCTGTTCATTCCCAAACACAAATCATTTTGCGTTTTGGAATCTGCTCGCACACACTCACCCAAGACGTGTGCATGCCTTCAACGCAAAATTTGGAAAAACTTCACCAACTCTCAAACAAATTATGGGTGAAGTTGGAAATAAAACATTAAATATAAAGTCTTGATCTGTTTCTATACATTCGGTGAAAATCTGAGGTTATTTTGACAAGAATTTCCTAAATTATGATCTAAATTTTTTTGGGACACCCTGTGGGAAGACATACTTTGCTTTAACACTGTAATCACTGTAAACTGGGACTAAAACTGTAAAAACTAGACTAGACCAGCACCAGAACTGTAACTAACCAAGTCTACAAAATCAGAACACATCAGCTTTCACTTTTTTGTTCTCTTTTCACATGTCTGCTGCTTTTATAGCCCAGAGATAAA